TTCCCCAGCGGATCTCAGCCAAACCTTGCTCTTGAGCATCTTTATCTTTTTCCCATCAGTCACCGTTGGCCAAATCTTTCGAGCTACTCTTTTATTTAATCCTCTTCCACCCCAAATAATCAAAGAGCTAGCGCAATTTTAACATTCAGGTCCAAGAAGATTAAATAGGGGCAGCTGTTATAACCCGAAATTTGACCTCCTTTTGCCTTTTACATAAGCATGTGCATTCACATCATTGGCATACGCATTCACACTTTTTCTCTGTGGTTTTTGTTGCAGGAACTTTCAAGTTTTGCAAGCCCGATTAATCACATCCTCTCAAAGATATCACATTATCAAAAAAAGCACAAAATGAAGGTTTCTACGCCTATTCATCAGAGCAAAAGGTCAAAAATTGGAATCGTGGCCACAACACCGTTTTTCAAGCAAAATATGCAAAATTTGCCTGAAGTAGTCGGTTACCCTATATTGAGTAACCGGTTACCCATTGCAAAAATGAAGATTTTGCTGCATTTTTGGGACAACCACTTTCTCTCTACATTTTGGTGGTCCATTTGGTTCTAGCATTGTGTGTAACATTCTAGACCTTTCTAGGTAATTCAAGACCTTTCAAGATATTTCAAGGCATTTGGTCCAATACATCATTTCCAATCAAGACCACCATACACTTTTGTTTCCAAGCATGTGAACCATTGGATTTTTAACTTGCATTGGGATGGTTACCGAGTCAACTACCTAACTAACTGAGTTAACCTCCAACTCAATGAGTTGAGCCTAACTAACTCCAAGGATAGTTTTGAGGCTACATCCAAAGCTCATTCCGAACCTAGCAACTCCGAAGCAAAGCTCTATATAAGCAAATCACCACCATTTCTCAAGGGGGTTCCATCATTTCTCAAAGTTCAATCATTATCATCTCTTTGGGGTTTAATCATTTTCATCAAATTCTCCATTGATCACTCTCAATTCTCTCACATTCTCTCTGAATTTTCTGCAACATTTGCATATTCATCTCCATCATCTTCCCAAAACCTCATTAGAGCTCAAATCCTCCATTAAAGAGTAGCAACTTCTTCATTGAAAGTGATTTCTCTTGAGCTTATCCATCATCATCTTGCGATTCCACCCTATTTTCTGGAGTTTTATTGGCTTTTGATTCATCTCAAGTGATTACTTCAAGCTTATTCGGTGCAATTTCACATTTGGAGATTTCGTCGCAATTTGCTCGGTTCCGCTATGGTTGGACCTCAAGCTTGGAATTCTCTGGGTTTCTTTGCTTAATTCTCATCATATATCAATAACAACAACATCCAAGGCAAGTCTCAGCCTTGTAGGTTGGTTATCTTTCACTCGATTTACCGTTTCGATCTATTTCGCGCGTTTACGATGTAGTTCGATCGTTTTTTCGATTTTGCTTAATCGTGTGATTTCTTCATCTTTTCTCTCCATTTTTAATGCATTTCATTGATGATTAATTGATGTTTAATTGCTTTTGAACTTCATTTTTTGTGCACAAATGTCAAGCATAACATGTGGAAGATTGGGGAAAGCTTTTGGTTGTAACAACTTATTTTCAAAAAGCTATTTTTTCCACTGTTACAGTGGTAACCAGTTACTCTATATAGGGTAACCGGTTACTCTGCACAATTTTAGCCTATTTTCTCCATTTTTGATCAAGTAACCGATTACCCACTTCAGAGTAACCGGTTACTCTGTGTATTTTTTTACTTATTTTTTAAGCAAGTAACCAGTTACCTGATATAGAGTAACCGGTTACTTCAGTGACAGAATGTCATTTTTGCCCGTTTTCAAGCTCATTTGCTATTCTTTTCCCATATAACTTCCATGGCTTGATATGCTTGATATTTATGGATGTTTTATGAGCTATTCACCTATTCTTTAAAGCATCTATGCAAATATTTCAATATGTCATTTTTCAATTCTCGATTAGGTGCATTTTTGACACTTTGATCACGATCATTCTTGCATATTTCTTTGATCACTTGCTACATGGTTTGTGATGCATGCTAATTGTTTTGGTACTGTTTTTTTCACTTTTATTCATGTTTGCATTGTGTTTGTTCGTCTTTGGAATGAACTCAATCTTGTATAATCAATAAATTACCCTTTTGCTTTAATGGTTTTTCATCCCTTTGAAAAATTGTTGGCATCATCCCCCTTTTGATTGATAAATCAAAACATCGTTTTGATTAATCGATCCTCCTCTCTTCCTTCTCCTTTAGATCTTCTAGATCTTTGCCCTTCCCTCTTCTCCGGTAGAGTTGAAGATTCACAACACATTAGAGCTCTGTACAAACTCGGCGTTATTGTGCTATCCGTTTCGATTCTTGCACCGCACTTTGGTGTTAGAGAAGGAATGAGAGTGGAAAATTTCTACACCCATTCTGACCATTTTGGATAGGGGACGAATGACTCTGTGCCTTGAATAGTCGTCTCTACCTCCTTACTGTGGTATCCCTCTTTCTCTAGTCAAGTCGATCTTTGATCACTTGCACCTTTACCTCCTCTTTTTGGAAGTAGCTTCCCCCTTTCAATTCAACACTATTTTCTCTCTCGGTCAATCACCATTCTTGGTTTCTCCCGAGATTTGTCATCACTCTTTTCTTTGGTTGATTAAATGTCCTTCAGTTTAAACCTAATTCCCTTCTTCCTCACCTAAGTCAATCTTTCTTATACGTTTTACACCGTCTTCCTGTTCTAACCTATTCCCCACCAAAGTTTGTAACTTCTCTTGGTTCTTTCTCCTTCTTGTTTGGGTCATCACTATTTAACAGTTAAACACCAATATATATATATATATATATATATATATATATATATATATATATATATATATATATATATATATATATATATATATATATATATATATATATATATATATATATATATATATATATATATATATATATATATATATATATATATATATATATATATATATATATATATATATATATATATATATATATATATATATATATATATATATATATATATATATATATATATATATATATATATATATATATATATATATATATATATATATATATATATATATATATATATATATATATATATATATATATATATATATATATATATATATATATATATATATATATATATATAAAGATGTTAAAACTAGTCTGAATTAATTATTTTTATATTTTAAAAAATATTATTTAAAAAATTATTAATTTTTTAAAAAATAATTTTTAAAGTTAAAACAAACGGATCTCAAAAATACTATAATATTTTTGTTATAGTAATAATTAATATTATAAGTATATATATATATATATATATATATATATATATACTTAACTATATCTCTGGGTTCAGATGATTTCTTTAATTATTTTTCATGTCAAATTGATTTCATAACTCTTTAAACGTGTTATGTTGGTAATTTTTGTCTAATTAACGATGAACTTAGTGACTGAATTTTGAATTTTTTCGTCGCTAGTTAGACAAAAGGATGAACATGACCTATTTTAAGAGAAAAGTGACAAATTTAACACGAAAAATAATTAAAAAATTAATTTAAACTCATAAATATAATTATAAAATTTAAAAGAGTATTTTTCCTTAAAAATGTTAATCCTGCACGATTCCAAAACTAATATCTAGGTTAGTATATTAAAGTAATTATTAATGATATCATTTTATTTTTATCATACTCATTAATGTAACATCAGTTTTATCTTTGTAAAAATGATAGAAAAGAACAAAATTCTAAAAATTGTTAAATAGAAAAACAAAAAGTTAAATTTTAAAACAAGAAACTAAAACTTCAAGATATTAAATTAGGGTGACCGAAAATATATTAATCTTAAATATGAATAGATTATAATTTAATTTCAATTTTAAAAAAAAAATCATATTATGAATGATACATATAAGAGAACAATAGAAAAACAAGCCATTAAAGTGTTATCAAGAATTAAAAGTGGCAAATTTTTTTCAAACAATTTTTCTTTTATTTAATTGAAAAAATATTTATTTTGCAAGTATAAAAATTACTTTAAATTCGAGAGTAATTTATTATGAGATTAATTGTTATACACTCTCATTATAAAAAATTTTACACAGTCAATACATCACAATCATCTGTTGTATTATTTTTCAAGTGGTTCAAAAAGTCAAACCTTTTAAATAAAAATGATTATAATTTTTATTTTTGTAAATCTTGATATTCGATCTTGCGACCGACTAATTCAAGAGGAACCAATCCCACTGTCTACCAGCAAAAAAAATCAATGATTATAATTAATTGACAGTGTAAAAATTCTTTATACTACAAAAATATATTAATTAAATTCATTTATTATATACGTCACATAATGCATCATTCTTAACAAATTATTTATTCATACAACTTTGCCTTTTAATTTTGATAAAGTTATTTGACAAATTATAATTTTAAGTACATCATTATATTATAAATATAGGGTCATGCTATTGCTAACGAATTTTTTAGAGATATTTTCTAAAAATTTTAAATAAAAAAATACTTTTTAAAAATAAATTGATTATTTTAATTTTAAATACATTGAATACACGTATTAAAAGAAAACATACACTTATATTTCTTAAAAAATCAACTAATTTAATTTTTAATGCATTAAATAGAAGTAGTTACAAGGGAACTTATCAAAATCATAATAAGTTAACTTGACCAACAAAAATCATAACAAGTGAAGGCATTATTATGCCTAAAAAAGAAAAAAATATTATAATTATCAAAATTGTAATTTCTAGTTTTTTATTTTTTGACTATAATAAATATATACTAAAGTATCATCCAATAAAAAATTGACATTTTACCAAATCATTAAAATATACATATCCTGTTTTCACTTTATTTTTTCAACAGAAAACGAATAATTAAAGGAATACATTTCGGTTTGGAAAGAGATATATATATATATAAGACACACTCGCTATGGCTCTTAACGGAACAGTCACATTCCATGGACTCAACCGAAGATTTGCACTTCTTATTAACAGCGCAACGCCGTGAACTCACAGCGGCGGAATCCATGGAATCCGATCTCGACTTCGCTTTCCATCTCCAGCTACAGGAAGCTCTTGCTGCTTCCCTCACCGATCATCCCTCATCCTCCATGGGTGCTATACTCGTAGAACCCCCATTGGACGACGACGACGTTTTCAAAGCACCGTCTCTCCAGTTGGAAGAGCTTGCAAGGATGGAGATTGAGATGAACGACAGAGAACAGAGCGAGAGAGTAATGCGCGAGGCGAAGGTTGATCTCAACCGTCTGATTCACGATCAGAAAATGGCGTCGGAGATTTTCAATTTTCCTGAGGAAGATTGGGATGAATGGGGCGATAGTTTCGAGAAACCCTTCGGTGAGGGGAGTTCGAGTTCGTCTGGTTTGAAGAGTGGTTACGGTGAAGGTGCGGCTGTTAGGGTTTATTTTAAGGGTTTAGTGAGTGTAGAGACTGTGAGAGGGGAGAAAGTTTTGTTGGCTGGGATTGGTGTTGCGGTTTGTGATTTGACTGATAATTTGATATTTGAAGTTTCGAAATCTGTGGTTGGGAATGGAACTAGTAAAATTGCTGTGGAGCTTAAGGCTTTGATTGAAGCTTTCAATGCTGTTATTGCTTTGGATTTGAAGCATGTTACTTATTATGGTGATTACTATCCACTTTTCCAATTTGTGAGTCCCTCTTACTCTCTTACTCTATGCATCATGCATGAACATGAACCCTAGTTTAAATATAAAATTGATTTTAGTGTTATTGACTTATAGTTTAACACAATGTTATGCGCTGTTGTGTCTGGAAGAAGAAGAGTGGAATGTGAGTATATTGATAATTTAAACTGCATGTTAAGCATAATATGAGATTCAAAATGTAAATTAGAAGTCTTGTTTTTTGAATTGGGAGTAAAATCTGATTGAATGAGTCATAATATGCATGGCCAATGAGACATTATAGTTTTAAGTAAATAAGTGGCATATACAAAAGTATATCCCAAAAGTATAAGAAAAATTGATATATTTCAATATTATAAAAAAGATTGACACAAGAAAATCGGATGGCTACACACATTTGTTAATAACAAGGCTGGCTACACAAAGTTCTGGTGTGAAACTTGCAAATTTGCAATTCGTCTCAATGTATTGAGAGTCGTGTTGGAAAATAGATAAACATAGTGATTTGTATAGATTGGGTTCTATTTTGTTTGGAATCGAGATATGACATGCATATATCATAAGATGTAAGATGATAATAACCATATGCATAATTCAAATCGGTAGATTCTACAATATGAAAACCTTGACTTTTGTAGCTTGTAGTATGTCCAATTTATTTTTTAGGGCTGTTTTTGTTTTAATGTGGCTTGCTTTATTTCATTTGAAAATTTGGCAATTCTCTTTGGAGAATTTATTGTCAATAGAAATGGTAGTTTTTGAAATTTTATAACGATTAGTGATAAGTTAGGGATCATGTGTCCTTGGAATGCCGTGTTGCTTGAATTGTACTTTGTTTGATGTGTGAGTTTAAAATGATGGGAACGAGTTAGCATGTGATAATGTTGTTTTTAGTGTGGAGTTTTTTAACATCTTGTTTTACTGCTCAGTTAAGTGGAAAATGGCCTGCGAAACAGCGGAAGATTGCTATGCTGGTTAATCAGGTGAATCTGCTCCAAAGAAAATTTGAATACTGCAGTCCAAGGCTTGTGGCAAGACATGATCTGAAATTTGCATTAAAGCTTGCAAGAGATGCAATTGTTTCTCAGTCCAATAGGCCTGCTGAATCTAGCAGTGTAAACAGTCTGAATGAAACTTGTGTCATTTGTTTGGAGGATACTGATCGTAGTCAAATATTTTCAGTTGATGACTGTCAGCACAGGTATTGCTTTTCTTGCATGAAGCAACATGTGGAGGTGAAGTTGCTTCACGGAATGGTGCCAAAATGCCCTCACGAGGGATGCAAGAATGAACTTCTAGTTGACAGTTGCCGGAAATTCTTGACTTCTAAATTAATTGAAACCATGCAGCAACGGAAATTGGAAGCTTCAATTCCGCTTACTGAGAAAATCTACTGTCCTTATCCAAGATGCTCTGCATTAATGTCAAAAACTGAAGTTTTAGAGTACTCCCAAAGTCTTATGGGCTCTGGACTATCATTACCCAAGAAATGCGTGAAATGTCATGGTCTTTTCTGTTTCAGCTGCAAGGTCCCTTGGCATAGTGGTATGACATGTTATACTTACAAAAGGTTGAATCCTAATCCTCCAACAGAAGATGTGAAGTTGAAGTTTCTAGCATCAAGGAGTCTTTGGCGGCAGTGCGTGAAATGTAACCATATGATTGAACTTGCTGAAGGTTGCTACCACATGACTTGCAGGTACTTTAATATTTGCTTTGTTTAAACCCTTTGTCATAATCATTTTGTTTTAAAATCTCCTTTTCTTTCTTTTTTCCCTAACAATAAAAGGACAGGGAGCATGCCTAATTCTCTTTAGATATATTTTATCAATTTTTCTAGCATTGGAGTCATATGATGTGATGAGCAATGGTTTGGGATTAATTTGCCTACTGGAGTTGGAAAAAGTTATATACCAGTTTGCTATACTTGTTAAGATGTATTGATTTTTACCACCATGCCCAGTATTTAATGGTTAACAATATGACCCATACTTTCTGTCTACTGGGACTAGTTTTGTTTTTATTTTCCAGTCAGGTTGTCAGTTCTAGGGTACATCTTGTGCTTTGGTTTGAGTTCTTGCATTGCATTGAAAATATTTTGCTGTTAAAACAAAAAGAAAATGGCAGATTCTATGGTGGACTTATGTTGAAAAATCACTTGAAATACTACCGATGACCAAGGGCATTCCTTGGAAATAGAAGTTCAATGTCACCCTTGTTTTTAAGAGTGCAATAGTGATCCAATCGGTGTCAGTTTGAAACAAACGGAAGAAAACAAATATGAGTTGAATTGAGTTCCTTGTTTTCATTTTCCCTTATTTTTCGGAATTTATATCAATCAGGTCATTATCATGAGTTTTTCCGTTCAGTGGGTTCACTGTGAATTGTCATTGGAGTTTCGAGTGATTTTCAAGTGCTGGTTCACCAATCAAAGTGGTTTTCCGAAGAATTTGCAACTGAAATTGTGTTTAACTTAAAAGTTTGAGTATATAGGTAACTATTTTTGCCCCCTTCAAAGAAATTGGTCCAGCTCTGCTAGTGTTTGTAGTGTATAGAGCTAACATTCAAGACAATGTTTAGGAGAATTTTGTTTTGAAATTTTATGTGCATTGTGAAACCAAAAGGTTGCTATAATTGTAAGATGGAAGTTAAGTTAGGCTTATTTGACAAAGAAAATATGTATAGTTTTACTATAATAATAGTCTTGGTTCATAATACTCCAATCATTTACTGTAGTAGTAGTTAACAGATTTCAATGAATGGCAAAGCAGGGCATTGGTGTTTAATCACAACATTTGGCTTGTTGCTAAATTTATTTCTTGTCCATGTTATCATTATTTATGTTTTAGTTTGTTCTTCTGTTGATTGCAGATGTAGTTATGAATTTTGCTATAAATGTGGAGCTGAGTGGAAGGACAAAAAGGCAACATGTTCTTGTCCACTTTGGCAAGAGGAAAATATTTGGTTAGAAGATCATCATGATGACGATGATGAAGACGATTCTGATTCTGAGTACGATGTTTATTAGAAAACTGACAACTTAACTGGCTTGACCAATGTTTTGAATTACTTTCTTTTGAACGGTAGGTTTGGTTCGCTACTTGTAAATGTGACTTTTTTTTTTGTTTGTTTGAAATAGTAAATACCATACTACCTTACTTTGAAAAAAAAACACAAATGTCCTAGTTTTCCTACATCAAGTTCACTCAAGTGGCGAGAAGATGAATATTTTTTTTTTGATGAAAGTGCTCGTCCACATGTTGTTTTGATTTTTTATTTATTTTTTATTTATTTTCATATTTGTATAATGTTTAATTAATTAAAATAACAATTTTGAATATTAAGAATATATTATATTAATTTAATAATTATAGACTAATTAAAAATATTAAAAGAATATTATATATCATTTATTATAATGTTTAATTAAGTATAATAATTATTTTTAATTAGAAAGAAAATAAATTATGAATGATATAATATTTTAATTTTTTTTCTTTCATGTATTTTAAAAAATGATCGATGCCCGTCCAATGAGTTGTCGAGTTTTTATAGACTCTCGGCCAATGAATGGTCGAGTTCAAACGTAATATTTTTCTATAAATAGATTAATGTGTATTAACACAAATCATTCGTGTTTGGTATTTCGTTTTTCAAAAATGTTTGTCTGAACTCTTTTCTATGGACAAGAAAAAAAAGTCGGTGTTTACTTAGATCTGTAGTGGAATTTCAGAATTGTGGTTATAGCATAATGTTTTTAGCATATAGTGGTGAAGTTAACAGAGGAGTTGAAGATCCACTTGTGTTGGTTACTGTTGTTGATTAGAGTGTATGTTAGCTTCTTGAGTTTTAATTTTATTTAGAGAACATAAATTATGACATTATGACGTTCGACCATCCATTGGAAGATTACGATTGTGTCATGATGATGTATGGACAAGCTGATATTAAGTTCATGGTTATAATCCGCTAGTATTGGTTTAATTTAAAAGTTGTCTTGAATTACAAATAAATGTTGGATCACAGAGAAATCAAGTGCAAGCAAAAAACTTTACAAACCGAGTTACTTGTAAAAAAAATAATATCTGGACGGTCGGTTTGACGGGCCGACAACATTTGGACATTTTTTACGCATATGACCTATTTCTCTGCAAATCTCATACCTTCTCTTTTCCTTTTCAGTGCCGTCCATTTCAGTTCTAATCCTACTACTGGTTGGACGTCCCTTCTTATTTCTTCTCATGGAATCGTCGTGATATAGAGTAAAACCTTCATATTTTGGCCAGTTTTCCTCGTGCGGTAGTCCCAAGAAGCTTTCCTTGTAGACTTTGAATACGTTAAGAACTGTGAAGACCTCTGGAATGTGAATGGTGTAGTCTTGATGTATGCTAGAACATGTTGCGATCACGCGGGAGCAAGGTAAGTGAAATGCATGAAATTTTTCATAGTCACACCAACGATTCCTCAGGTCAACGCTGAAAGTACCCGTTGGATGACCATCATTTTGATTAATTTTTTTCTGCACCATGAAACAAAATCTTTCGCGATCAAATTGCATGACATTATGTGTGTTAGCCTTGGCTACCTCATCAGTCGTTCCCTTGTTGCAACCATCTGTGAAAACTTTGCCGGTAGCTAGCATTTTGGTCCATTTGTGTCCTCGTTTACCAAAGAAGGAACCCATGCGATAGTATGTAGACTGGACCAAAGCAGTGGTTTGAAGGTTTCGGGTTGCCTTTAGTGCAGAGTTCACGGCCTCTGCCAAGTTAGATGTCATATGTCCCCAACGTTGTCCTCTGTCAAATGCTCTAGCCCACTTCTCCCTAGGTATGTTGTCTATCCAATGTGAGGCCTCAATGTCTGTTCTTCAGATTTCTCCGCATTTATAGTTAAAGTAGCTTCCGTCAATGCGTAACCTGTAATAGAAATTGTATGAAAACATAGTAAAAGTATGATATAATAGTTCAGATAAATGAAATGTATTTTGTTACCCATGTTAATAAGTTTTTTGCCTAGTTCCTTGTCCTTAATCTCGCGCATGAAGTTCTGCGGAATGTGTCTAATGCAGTAGACATGTGAAGATGGTGGATGTTGCCATCTGTTTTTGGGATTGTTATATGCACTATTTATCGATTCATATCTATCAGAGATAAGGCACAGATTAGGTTTTGGTGTCACGTGTAACCTCAGGTTCCTTAGGAAAAAGCTCCATGCTTCCTTTGTTTCACCTTCGACCAATGCAAATGCTATTGGGAAAATGTTTACGTTTCAATCCTGTGCAACCGCCATCAATAGAGTTCCTCTATACTTGCCATACAACCACGTTCTGTCTACTTGCACAATGGGCTTACAGTAGGCGAAGCCACGTATACACGGTCGAAATGCCCAAAACAGACGATGGAAGATTCGTTTTCCAGAGATTTGAGAACCATCATTTGAAATTGCAGGTAGGGTTTGCAAATCTATAATGGTTCCAGGAAGATAGGTTTTCATTACCAATATCCACTATGACAGGTCATTGTAAGATGTTTTCCAATTTTCGTAGAGTGACTCTATGACCTTACACTTAGCGATCCATGCTTTCTTGTAAGATATTATGTACCTGTATTTTTTAAGAATATGGGTAATGATCACCTTCACCTTAAGTGAAGCGTCTCGATTGACAAGTTCTCTAATGTTGTGGCTAATCATTTCTGAACTGAGCTTCCTATGGTCTTGTGTCATAGACGTGGTAGTGCACGTGTGAGGCCCAAACAACTTACTAATCACCCATTTTGAGTTCCTTTTTCTCAAGGAAGCTCTGCATTTGAAATTGTAGTCTTGTTTCTTACATTTAATTAGGTATCGTTCATTGTCAGATTGGTAAACCCAATAGTCAACACTGTGTGTTATATGCCAATGTTGCATAGCGAAAATGCAAGCTTCCTTGTTTTCAAACTCCATCCCAACCTCTATTTTGTCACCTATATAGTTTGGTATGAAACCTCTAAACATAGAGGTTGCTTCATCATCTTCCATACATATATTCTGCATATGTGCAGGTGGGTTGTACAAGCTTATTAGTTCGACGCGAATCGGCTGCGTAGACGCAACTATTATATATTCATCATCCTCGTCATCGCTGTTACCAAAAATATCTTGCATCCTGACCTCTTGAAGATCATCGTTGCTTGCTTCCCCAACCTCTTCATTTGATATGAAAGGTTCGTTATTTTGTGTTAGTTCATCGTCAGATGTTTGGCTCATTCCATACTGGTGTGACTGTGTATCTTGCGTTAGAAATGTTTCGACATTGTCCAGTAGATGAACATACAGCTTAATTGTGGGTAACTGACCAAACATCATGTGGCACCGAAACATTGCTTCCACGCCTTCTTCGTTCCTGATTGGCGTTATTACGTAAAAAATTGTATTACCGTCTTCATTAAGTAATGGATGATGATAAATAATCTCCTCAACGCATCGTTCTAATTTTTTCCATTCTATCTTTGAAATGAAAAAAATCAGAATTGACATGAATTTTGAATGCATAAGCATCTGTGTTGCCGAATGAGAATCCAACAGTACTATTTGTCGAAACAACACCATTAAAGTGGCATGTAACTATTATATTTCTTTGAGCCATATTTGATGTGAAAACTCTATGATTTTGTTAATGAAATGTGGAGTGATGATACAAAAAATATATAATATACACATCTTGTCACTACTGCGAAAAAAGGCCGGCAAGGACAGAAGATTCGCCACCGTTCGTTATTTATCCCAAAGAGAGGGAAAGGAAACGATCAGAGAAAACCTACGAAAAAGGGAAAAGACAGGTCATCACAACCAAATCTTGGGTTCAGGAGTCGGTTACACAAGGGGAAGGTATGAGCACCCTTCACGTCCGTCGTACTCGACGAGATCCACGCTTGTTGTCTATCTAAAAGAGTGTTAAACTATAAGGCTGGCTCACAGGGACAAAAGAAAATAAAAGAGACCCGATAGAGCATCGCTGCTCTATGCCTACGTATTCCCTCGTGCAATGGGAAAGTCAGAGTCAACGTAGTTCAGAAAACTACGGGTGAAAGGCGGGGAAGTTTGCTCGCCAAGACATCGCTGTCTTGTGCCTACGTATCCTCGTCTGGTACGAGAAATCAGAGAAAATGTAGTTCGGGCTGACACGACCACAGATTGGTTCAAAGTGTTTTACCCGAGTAGGGTTAAACCTTCGTTCTAGCAGTTAGGTGTATTGTTGCTCAACCATTGGAGACTTAGGCGTTACCTGTTTGCGATAGAACCAAGAGTTAACAACACTCTCTTATGAAAATGGTTTTCCAACTAACCCCGAAGGATGAAAAATGTTTGATGTCTGTTTTTGAGTCTTTTATGAAGAAGTGAGTTGAATTGTGTTTGTAATTCATGTTGCACTAAAGACTATGACTTAGGAGCGAATGCGTCGCATATCGTCCAAAGGACATACGCTAAACACTCTAGACAATTTAGAGGAGGCCCCTAATCATCATTTCCCAAATGCTTAAGGCTTGTAGCACACAACATTCATTATACTTTATTACGTATTTTGGAATGTTTAGGAGATGAGAAGAGAGAGACGCAAAGACTAAAGGGAAACTCGGCCCTAATATTGTCATGCAAAGTGGACCTAAAGTTGGGATGAAAAGGGGAAAATATACCCTAATGTTATCATGCTTGGATTGAACACTTAATGTCTCTCCTACTCCCATCCTAAACGGAGGGACTAGGAATCCTAAGGGATCATGGCAAAGAGAACCAAGAAATCACAAGATAAATCAATCACAAGTGAAAAGGAAAAGATGCAAACATGAAATGCAACACAAAGAAAAGAGGGAGGAAAAAGGCGTGGGGCAGCAGCCACCACAAGCACATCTCAACCTCTTGCAACAAGTAAAAGATGCAAAACAAAAGAGAGAATGCAAGCAAAAGAACTTAAATAAACCTAAGCAAAAGTGAGATGAAATGAGAGAAGTTACAACTCCTACAACCATTCAAACATCAATCACTAAAGAG